CAAATGGAATTACATTGGGTATACACATATAGTCACGCATGCTCTCTCTCTCTCCTTCTGTTCTCTCTCTCTATCTCATTCTCTCTCAGCTTCTGTATCTCTCTCTTTCTGTCTCTGTCTGTCTGTCTGTCTCTCTCTCTCTCTCTTTCTGTCTTGCTCTCTCTCTCTCCATCTCTTTCTCTCTGCCTCTGTATCTCTCTCTCTCTTTCTGTCTCTGTCTCTGTCTCTGTCTGTTTCTCTCTCTCTCACTGCTCTCTCCTTCTCCCTATCTCTCCTCCCCTCCTCTGTCTCACGCGCGCGAGTAAACTACACACATACACACGCACACACACGCAAGAAGAAATTGCAAAGCATGTTTATGTAACGTACAAAGATGTTGACGAAATGATATAGAGTGAAAGGTTAGGATAGACAGAGACAGACAGGGAGAGACAAACTACGATAGGTAAACAGATAGCGATAGAAATGAACAGAGAGAGATATAGGTAGAAATAAATAGACAGAAATGAGCAGAGAGGAAGCGATAGAAACAGACAGCGTACGACCAACAGAAAGAAGGAGAGAGATAAGCGAGAGACAAAGAGAGAGCGAAACAGACCGAGGCAGAGACAGCGCAGCGACCTCCTGCAACGCACCTCCCTTGGACGTCCTCAGCGCGGGCATCATGTGGCTCAGACGCTCCAGGAAGGGGCGTCGGTTCCTTCTCCTGGCGTCCTCCGGGTCTCCCTTCTCCTCCAGGAACGTCCCTTCTTCGTCAGCGCCTTTTTCTGTCCCTCCTCCTTCGCCGCTGCACACCCCGCCGCCCCCACCGCCTCCGCCACCGCCGCTACCGCTCCCCGCCCTCACGCCGCCGCTGTGCCAGTGGCGGTGGAGCTTCACGGAGAACACGACGCCCACCACCACTGCGTCGAGGGAATTGGAGTGGTTGTAAGTGTTGTGGAGAAATGTCTAAAATGAATTTAAGCTGATTATAAATGACGAGGGGAAAATATTCATAATATTCATAATCAGCAGATATATCCAACAGTAGTTATTGAAATAGAAAAAAAATGTATTTAGATATAGAATAAAGACCAATTTACAAGAGAGAGCAAAAAAACCAAGCGGGTTATCCCAATTTCCGGCCCGCGACTCACCCACAAAAATCACAGACAGAGTTAGGGCCACGATGGCCACCGGCCCCGTGAGAGGGTAGGCTGCGGAATCCACTTTGGTCCACTGGCAGTAGTCGCCGGCGTGGCCCGGGCCGCACACGCACAGGAAGCCGGGCCGCAGGTTCTGGCAGGAGCCCCCGTGCAAGCAGGGCCGCCACGCGCACTCGTCCACGTCCTGGCACGTGCGGCCCACCAGCTGGCGGCCCGGGCCACAGCTGGGCGAGAGGGGGGGGGAGCGCCATTAGAAGCAGAATATTTTGGGAAGGCAGATGAGGAGGAGGGCGCTAATGGTGGGGATAAAGATAATTACAATAATTATGATAATAATAATGATAATAATAATAAAAATGATGATAGTAATAAAATTGTCCGTGTATGTATGTGTGCGCGCTTGATCATTCATATGTCTGCATGGATGCACATCAGGAGGCGAGGCAGATCCGTATATCAGTCTCGGGCGGTGAGGCTCCCTCTCCCGCCCGCCGCCCGCACCCGTCACCTGCGGCTCATCCGCATCCGCCGCCGCGGGCGAGAGTGGATGCTTTGGCGCGCGCGCGCGGGTCCCTTCAGGCGGCCTGCACTTCGCGCCTGGCTGCCCCCCTTTCAGGCGGCGGCCCGCGGCGCCGGCTGAAAGCGGGGGAGGCGAGAGGCGCGACTGAGCGCTGACAATTAACAAAAACTTGATGCTTCTACATTAGGCTCTTCGCACCCGCCTGCAGGCCTTCCGGGAATTTCGTCAAACAATCGCACGTGCACACGTACACACACACACATATATAGACATACACACAAACACACTTATATACTGACACACGGACACACACACACATATACAGACACACGGACACAGATACGCACACACACACATATACAGACACACGGACACACACATACACATATGTAGAGAAAGCCTGACACACACACACACACACACACACACACACACACACACACACACACACACACACACACACACACACCATCCACCTCGCCACCCACCCCCAACCCACCCCACACACAGACCCACCTGCAAGAGGCCCGCCCCCAGCTGGAGAAGCAGGCGAGGGGCGTCGGGCAGCTGGTGGTGTTGGCGCAGGCGTCGGCGGCAGCTGGGCACCCGACCTCCAGCTGGTGCACGGCTGTCACGCGCGCCCACGATGTCACGTTCACGGCCGGGGGGAGCGGGAGTGGGCGGCCGGCCACTCTCACGTCGTCAATGCAGGCTGCGGGCGGAAAAGTGTTTGATGGGCGTGAGCGATGAGTCGTGATGAGTGTGTGGGTGCCAGTCGTGGTGGGCGTGAGTGATGTTGGTTGTCAGTCCCTCCCTCCCCCCTATCCAGACCAGCGCCATCCCCAATGTCATTTTTTGGAGTCCAATTGTAACAGAAATGATCATATATTCTACAGACACAACTCGCTTTCAAAACATTAGCCTTAGAGGAATCTTTTCTATGATATAAAGACCCTTATAGACGGCGGTGACTGAAACGAACCCTGTGCATTACAACTTTATTGTATTCGTTATTTAGAAAAATAGCAAATCATTGACATTTGTTTCCTCAACATACAAAGTATATATATATATAGTATTGCTACATCAGAAAGACGAAAAAAAAAGAAAAATGAAAGAGAAAAAATATTTTAGAAAAGAGGCAGAGGAGGGGACGATGTATAAAAAACTTATTTCGGAGTAAAGAGGAGAGGACAAAAAGAAAAAAGAAGAGAAGAAGAAGAAGAAGAAAAAGAAAAGTTTGGTCGCTGTGTCCCTTCGCTTCGTAAAACCTCGTGGTCGCTGCTAAGTCAGACATCAAGAGAGATTTCAGGTTTTTGTGGCGGTTATTTGTGGTTATGTTCTATTTTCTTATTCATCTTTTGTTTTATGCGCTATCTTAGGGTACGGACAATGAAGCTAAAATTTCATTACTGTTTTTGGATGTCCCGGATGTGTCTTTCCTTTTCCGTCCTGCCTTCGCCTCGCCCATTCCTTGAGCACGAATGTTTTCTTTTCTGTTTTGTCTTCCTATTTATTTATTTATTATTCTTTTATTTACTTATTTATTTTTTTATTATTATTTTTTTGCTGGTTTCATTTTTGTCTTCTTCGTGTTCTTTCTGCTGTATCTCCTTTTTCTCCCTTTCCTTCCTCTATCCTCTCCTTTCTCTCTTTCCTTTCCTCTTCCTTCTCCATCTTTTCCTAACCCTCTTCTCCGCCTATCATTCTTCCCTCCTCCTCTTCTCCCTCCCTTCTTTCAGCCATCTTTCTCCCTCTCTCCCTATCCCCTTTTCTTAATCTAATGCAATATAGAGGGGGGACAATGTCATTCCAATTAACTTAAAACACCGCAGACTTCTATAACACCGCCACTGTATTATTCTAACGTCGTACAACTTTTATTAGGTACGGAGGACGTAAAGTAATGACTTATATACACCCTTTACTGAGCCATTTGGAAATGTACAGGAAATGCTCGAAATGACACATATTTTTTTTTCTTTGTTTGTGTGTATTGTTTGGAATGTATGCCTATCAAGTATAGTCTATTAATGATCCAAGTTTTTATTTGCTATTGACCGATAATAACTTGAATACCGATTCAGTTTTATAATCAATATCACCTAAAAAAAATCTATATCAATACTTTATGGTATATCATTCACAAGCTGAATGGATAAAATATGATCATTTTTGTCACATGTACCCTTAGAGAATAATCTCATTTTCCTTGCAATTCTAAAACACATCAGTATCTCAATGTACTACCGTGTTGCAGATAAGACAACCAAGAGAAATGGTCTGTTTAAAAGCCCTAATTCGTAGGGTACATTGCTTACTGGAACCCACTAGCTATTAAATCATAATCGAAAGGGTCAATTAGGCAAGAGTGGGAGAATTTTTCAGTCTATACTTTTTGTACTGAGTAAAAAAAAAAAGAAAAAAAGAAAAAATAAGACCCAGTTTTATTATGCTAGTTTTATTTCTGTGAACATTATTCACTACTTCTTGAAAAAAAAAAAAAATCCATGTATGGATAAAAAACACATCTATTAAAGTCAACTCTATTCTTTGAATCGTATCAGATCACCAAACATATTTCACTAGTATTACTCCATCTTTTTTTTTTTTCTTTTTTTTTCTTTACAACTGACCAATAACTTGTTGTCGTTATAACTTCGTCTTGTTAAATTTCCCATTTATTCCTTTCTTAAAAAAAGAAAAAGAAAAAAAGACCCCAACTACTTACATGAGGTTATGCAATCCCATATATATACATACAGAAAGAGAGAGAAAGAGAAAGAGAAAAAGATAAAGAAAGATAAAGATAAAGGGAAAGAAAGAAGAAAGAAAGAAAGAAAGAAAGAGTAAGAGAAAGAGAAAGAGAAAGAGAAAGAGAAAGAGGAAGAGGAAGAGGAAGAGGAAGAGGAAGAGGAAGAGGAAGAGGAAGAGGAAGAAGAGGAAGAGGAAGAGGAAGAGGAGGAAGAGGAAGAGGAAGAGGAAGAGGAAGAGAAAGAGAAAGAGAGAAAGAGAGCAAAATAAAATTTACACACACACACACAAAAAAACAACAACGAGAACACGCATACGAAACGGATCCCACCTGTTTGGGTGTCAACTTGTTTGACACTTTATTAATGCACTTCAACTTTTTTTTCATGATGGACCATGTGTGCTACTTTAGTTTTTACCGTTCAAACCATTTACTCTGGTTCTTGCTATTTTTACTTGTCTCTTTTTACTTGCTCTGTTTTTTTCTTTTTTTTTCATTTACTGAGCACTTTTGCTTTCCTTATTACCCCTTGCTCTTCTGTTGTTATCCATTTCTTATTTCTTTGTCTTTTACTTATTTCATTGTTAATGTTATAATGTTAATGTTAAAATGTTCTTCCAGATGTTAAGCCCCTTAAATTCCTTCTCCAGAAGTCGTAAGTCCCTTCTGCATCTTGTGTGTGTATGTTTAGCACTTCTAACACCTCCTTGATATCAAGGCTTCTGAAAACGTCTTACTGTGGTTTTATGTCCTTTCTGTGTCTTCTACAGCGATTTCCAGCCCTTATTGACACTTCTTATATTCCTTTGAGGTCCTTTAATGTAACTGTACTGTATGGCTTTACCACATTTATGGTTTTAAAAAGATAATCCCTAGATTGGTTAGGCTTAGAATTTATATTCTTCTAAATGTAGATAGGTAGATAGATCTCTCTCTCTCTCTCTCTCTCTCTCTCTCTCTCTCTCTCTCTCTCTCTCTCTCCTCCTCTCTCTCTCTCTCTCTCTCTCTCTCTCTCTCTCTCTCTCTCCTCTCCCTCTCTCTCTCTCTCTCTCCTCCCTCCTCCCCTCCCTCTCTCCTCTCTCTCTCTCTCTCTCTCTCTCTCTCTCTCTTCTCTCTCTCTCTCCTTCTCTCTCTCTCTCTCTCCCTCCCTCCCTCCACTCTCTCTCTCTCCCTCCCCCCTTTCTCTCTCCCCCCCTATCTCTCTTGACAGTAGATGCTGTAGAACGGACAAACAGACACTAAGTAATCCATATAAAAGACATAAGCTAATATCACAGTTAATGGACCCGAACAGATCCTGATTTATCCATGGAATGATCTGAGATTACATTTTAGTTGGCTTGCTGTGGGCCGCCGATCAACTGAGAGGATTTATACATGCGGATATCATTGAAATTTGCGTAACACATGAATAATAAAAGAGGGGTTTTGAATATTGGGTATTATTATCTTGACAGGATTTTCATTTAGTGCAACATACTCGACATGGGGTAAATTATATGCAGGCACCGACCCCCATGTGCAGCTCCAGAGTTTGTAATGAAATATAATTGCAATTTCAGTTTTTAACCCCCACCCCCTTGGCAGTGTGTGTTACATGCTAAAAATAAAAGTATGTTCCATATCCGTGTACCATTTGGAAACTGATATTTCAGAATCAATTTACATTTATTATACACTAATAGGTGTACTGGACAATGGAACTGTAACAGTATTCAGGAAGGGTGCTTTGGCATCGCATATTTTGAGTATACTTTGTCTCACTCACTCGCTCATTCACATTCTCTCTCTCCTCCCCCCCCCCCCTTCTCTCTGTGTCAGCCACTCTCTCTGGTTCTTTTGAAGACTTGAAGACGTGCGACTTTCTTTAAGCGATAACAAATGAAACCAATAGCAGTCTTTGAGCCAGCTACTCACTAGTTGCATTTTATCTCGTCGTTGTACACACACACATACGCACACGCACACGCACACACATGCAAATACATACATATATATCTGTCTATCTATTCATCAATATACATGATACATATTTATGTCTATATATGCATATATAAACACACACGCACACACACACACACACACACACACACACACACACACACATATATATATATATATATATATATATATATATATATATATATATATATATATGTAAATATATGTATGTATGTGCATGTATATCTATCTATTAATCTAGCTATATATACATACACGTCTACACACAGCATAAATGTGAAGTTCCACCCAAGAGCCAACCACCATTTAAAAAGACACAAAACTTATGACTCACCCAGACCGCCTCGGACTTTGGTCACTTGCAGTATTCCCGATTAAAGACAAAACCCTTCAGCCTTACAGTTTTATTTAATCTGGCTTCAACGACTCGCCGACTGAACGACCGTGGAACGACCACCTCGCACAGACAAGACGGAAACTAAAGCACGGATCAACTGGCTTTGTCTTCGTCCAGGACCTGACCTGTGTTCGAGTGCTCAGCCAGGCGGAGTGTTTCAACTGCGAAAAGCACACACACACACACACACACACACACACACACACACACACACACACACACACACACACACACACATACATACATACATACATATATATATATATATATATATATATATATATATATATATATATATATATATATATATATATATATATATATATATATATATATATATATATATATATATATATATATATATATATAAATGCACCAGACTGCACAGGCCTCTCGCTAGAATATCACTGTGCACAGTACTTCTCATTTGAGAAACATGGGGCATGAGGACTTATTCCATGTTTCGCCGTGGTTTCGTGTTTCATGGTATGTTTTTTTTTTTTTTTTTTTATTTTTTTAAGAAGAAGAACAAGGAGAAGAAGAAGAAGAATGGAAACCGGTTTACTGATTCAAAATTATTACGCTAGTTTGCGAGAGTAGATCTTCAGTTTCAAATTAGCCATTTCTTGTTAATTTGTGTTTGATAACGAGAAACGGATTTTGTGATAACGAGCTCTAAATGTTTTATATAAAACCTCGTAATTTGTTGACTATAGATACT